CGCAAGTCGTTTCTTTGCACTACAAGATCAGTAGATCTCGGGCCTAGATCTGGCTATGGGGAGGATAAGACCCGCCTCGTTGGCTTTGAGGTTGGGTTGGAGCAAGTGTGGCAAAGATGCGACGATGAGGCTTGATCAATGCCGCGACTGTGGGGAAGTAGAACCCAGTTCGTCCGTCTACTCAGAAATGATAAGGTAACTGAAGTCGATGGAAGGGCATAACAAGCCTTCCATTAACGTTTAGGAACCGCCGGTGCGCCTACAAGTTGTCGGCGGCGCTGAGTGGTTTGCAGCAAGAAGACGTCGTCGGGTGAGGTGCCAAAAGTACCTAAGTCAAGATTACCTTAGGTGGGAACTGAGAAATAACGAAGGGGGGAGACACCGGGCATTTGGGATGGAAGGTGCCTCATCCATGACAAGACGGGACCGGGAAGTGAAAGGAAACCAGCCTGGAAAGGGATATGGGAGGAGCGACCTACCGTGTGTGCTTGCCTAGGTGCTAAATGGATAACGACGGTTTATGTGTTCCCTCGGGGCAGGAGGGCCCAGGCCGCCCAGCACCTACCTAATTTAATGGAGGGAAGATTTGCCACCCAGTGCCTTTCCCATGCCGGAGTTTGATCCGACGGCCAATCAGGAACATTGGTTCCACCGGATTGAATTCCGCCACGTTGGGCATCCATCACTGGCCGACTCGCCATACTCTTCTAAAAACCACCTGCCCAACCTATCAGGAAACAGAAAGCATCACTTACCTTCCTGCCCTTATTTCGGCCCTCCCCATACTGACCGTACGGATACAGGTATCACACATCCAGTACATGCTATCCATCGCTCTCCCTTTCACTGCCAACGTTATTGATGCTGTCTACGCAGCAAGGTTGGTACGCAACCACGGCCCGAGTCACTGGCTGTTCGATTTCGCTACCCTCACCCCCTTCTCCTCCTCCTCCTCCTCCTCCTCCTTCTTCTCCTCCTTCTCTTCCTCCACCACCACCACTACCACTCACCCACTCGACACCAGCGTCTCCTCGGCCTACTACTACTACTACTCCTTATTCTACTGTCCTCTGAGCATTGTACAATGTCTACCAAAACCTACACTTCACACGACCCTACCACCTCTCGCAACTGCTGGCTTTGCCCGCAAGTCCACGGATACACCCCAACTTGACTCTTAGCAAAACTTCAATTTCGGCTCTGACTTCAACCCCATTCCGGTCTGCTCTTTGGCCCTTGGTCCCGGCTTCACATTGCGACCTCTCCCTCGGCCGTGTTACTCTACCATACCATACCGCTCGCCACCACCAACATATTCCGACTCTGCCGTCTTCTTACCGTCAAAACTTTGTATTCAGTCCCTTAAGTTCCGCTGCAGCGGACAGGCCCTCAGCTGCTGCCATCATCCTTATCCACCCTCCCCTTCGTCTTCGCTGCTTCGATACACAAGATGCCAATTATGACAACAATGCCAGCAAGGGCTCATCTCTCCTAGCAAGCAGTACACCTTCACTTTGTGTACGCCCACCCGTGTAGGTGTAATATGCCGTCTGTCGGTTCTGTCTGCCTGTCTGTTGTTTGAGACATTTGGCAACTCAGGTTGCCTGGCGTGTAAAGACACATTATGGTGGAACAGCTGTAAGTCTATTCTCTCACTTTATCCCCTGTCAGTCCCAGCCCCAGTAGAAACCCCTGACACGCATACTCCCAGCCGGAGCCCTTCTCGCACTTCCGTCCGTAGGGGCCCGCTCAAATATCCTGACGCGCCCCCATTCATCGGTATGGCACTTCAAACCCAGTCACTGTGTTGCCCGTATCCTGTCATAGACTTTGCACCTTACGCCCGACCCGAAGCCAGCAAGCAGGAGTTCCTCCTCATCCTTCTCCTCCACCCCTAGTTTCCTAAACTCATTGTTTTTTACCTCGACCATCTTCTGTCAGCATCTTCTTGCGGCCAACATACTCGCATGTTCCCGAACCCAGATACTAGTTGCTTTCCAGCCAAGTTTTGAGTTTTTCTCCGGATTCCGCCAGCACCACGGTCAAGACTCAAGACAACCTACCTCATTCAGAGTACACCAAGAGGCTTGTAAGAAACCGAACCTACAAATTTTCAACCGAACAAAAAGAAGAACACTCTGCTGCCCATGTGGGAGGCAATATGATGGCTCAATCACCCTGCCCTGAGCTGGTGTCAATGTATACTTTACCACAGCAACCGCTCCAATCACCTATCAACGAGTATCACCTGTGCCAGAGCTGGTCTGGATGCGATTGTCACGCGACTGACTTCTCGATGGCCTCCATGCCCCAGGAAGTTGAAATTCAAGCCTGTCGGTTGTTCGACTCAACTGAAGGGACTACGCCAGCCTTCTCAACGGCCACTTGGACAACCCAGCGCGAAGCATGGCCTACGTACCAGCAGTTAGACTTCCAGCAACCTGAACCCACGGCATACAGCCTACCTCATCTATGGCCAAATCCCGTTGACAATCCTCCTATTCCAGGCCAAGACTGGCATTACGCATCCGATTTCCAGCTCCAGGATAGCCCAGCCCCAGGAGTAACGGCAACATGCCAAACGCCGAAGACGTCTAAAGGTCGGAAGATGGAATCGACAAGTCAACCACCCATGAAGAAGGCACGTCTCATAGCGAGAGAGCACGCCTCACCGACCTACATGGCTTCCTACGATGCAAATGCGAATGGCACCGAGGCCGCCGACCAGCACAAGGAAAGTGACCACGACACTTGCTCTTCACCAAGACCGGAAGGGAAAAAAACGTATCGCGTCAAAAACCGAGCCGCCGCAAAGCGATGCCGCGAGAAGACAAAACAACATGAGCTAGATCTCGCCGCTGAAGAACAGCGAGTTACACAACAGCGAATGTATCTCGATGCTTGTGTAGCAGCGCTCAAAAACGAGGTTCTGGTTCTAAGAAGCCAGATTCTCGAACACGGGGACTGCGACTGCGAGATAATTCGAGGATATATCGCAAGAACAGCTAACAATGTGAGCATCGGGCTTCATGGAGAACGCCAGCTAGTGTAGCAAGAGGACATGAAAGCAACATCTACTTATCCTGCATTTCGTCGCGTAATGGACAAAGCGAAAGAAGGTCCAAGAGACACAAGTCTTGGATCTCAAGTATAGCGGAAGACTGTGAATTTCTAGCCTCACACCTGCATGGCGAGCTGATATAACGATGGCCGGCATCCAGCACATGATGCAATGTGGGCAAGGAGGTAGGCTTTCCTTGATTCTTTGCTCCGAGTATCCCTTCTCCTCTTCTTCTCTTCCTCCTCGCTCGAGAAGCAATGAGCTCTCTTGTCGAGACCTCGGTCAGAGTCTATTTACTTTACATCCTTCCCGAATTTCTAGCTCTTGACGGCTATTCCTACGATACTAAGCATACTTTCTCCTCCAATATCGAGACACAAGCTAATGACTGCTGTAGGCATATTGCACTGACCATGGCGGGTTTGTGCCGTGCTCTCTCCACAAATCTATGCTGCAATGTGGCGATGCAGTCAGCCAACCACAACGACAATTTGGAGAAGCGCTCTGAGGGGGGTTTAGAGAATCCCCCACCCCAAAGACGCCCCGATTTGGCTGAACATCTTGGAACCACCCCCGCCAATCAACGTTCGACTAGGCCTGTTCCAGACGCTAAAAAACGACCCGATTAGCAGTGCCGCATGTCCCTCGACTTGCTGGCGGGTTACATTGCAACTGGCGCTCCCATGGTCTTTGTGCAACCAAATGATCTCCTGCGCTCAACTGATTTATTCTCTTCTTTCTTCAGGCCTTTCGTGGTCTCCCCCGCCTTATTCCCTTTTGGCGGAGTTCCATCGAAAGCAGTCGTAAGTGACTGGTTCATTATCCGTCGTCTCTCGAGTGCACCAGGCTTGGGTTTCAGCAGCCCATGGGCAGAGTCTGCAGATTGTCGGGAGTGTCTAATCCTAATTTCTGGCTGGGCTGCTGACACGAACCGACAGCTGAGCTAGGGTTCGATGCGCCAGCAAACTCTCGATAGCCACAACGGCCACTCGCACCTACGACATCCATGCATTTCTGTCCCCTTTGTAGATGGATGGATCGCTCAACAGCAGCCTCTACCCTGCTAATGGGCTGGCCTGGCCATGGCCAGACAATTCCATGGCTTTGGGGAGCTTTGCGAGCCAAACTTAACCTCTTTTTCGTGGTTTTCGTTTATTAATATTGTTTTTCGTTTCTTCCCTTTTCGGGTTTCCTATTTACCTAAGGGGAATCGCGGCAGCTTTCCCGGCACCGGAACAATCCAAGTGGCTCAGCCAGCAACGGGCACGGGGGTTTGGCTCGAGTCTTGTCCATCCATTTCGTCATACTTGTCTACCTCACGAGCTCCCAAAAATTTGAGAAACTACTCATCGGGACGGGCCTTGTCAGCACTCCCAAACACCTGCAACCGCAAAATAATATCACGACGAGAACGAGAACGATTCAATCACTTCCAACATGGCCAGCGGGTCGGCAGTATGACACCCACCGTCAAAACGACTGCGACTTACCAAGCGACGCGGCGGGCGGATCTGGTCTGGCGGTTGAGGCCCGCTCTGGCTCTGGCTCTGGCTTTGGCTGTGCCCTCTCTCAATTCGTCCACCCGCGCCATTTCAACTACTACGACGAATACGCAGACCTCGCCGTACCAGCTACACGCCTACGGCCTTAACATTTACGCTTCCCTTTTCACTGTTTGTGGCTATCTCGGTTGCCCACCAGGCCTGCCCATGGTACTGTGGCAACGCTCACGATGAAACCACAGCGCGAGCTTTTACCTGCGGGCCCAACAGCAGCCAGCAGCGCCTCGTCGGAACGGGAGACAACCCCGCAATCTGCCACTGGCACCACGTCTTTTGCACCAAGACGACGTCCCCAGACAAAAATCGCCTGCACTTCATGTCGTCGCAGGAAATCGAAATGCGATGGCCAACGTCCTGTGTGTTCCTTGTGCGCAGGCATGGGTCGCACCCGCTGCGAGTACGATGCCGGTCCCGACGTCACACGCTTCGCCGCCCTGAAAACAAAGCACGAGGAGCTTCAACGCCGCCTTTCTCTTTTTGAAGAGCTATTCCGCCTTCTGTCCACACGCTCCGAGCCGGAATCCGTCGAAATCATCAGGCGGATACGGACATTAAATATAGAAACCGATCTGGACGACCTGGTCAAGTTTATCAAGAACGCAGATCTGCTCATCCAGCTGGCTTCTACACAAGCCGAGCCTCCTACGTCGGGGACACCCACGAACCACCAAGACCCTCCTGCCGAGGATCTTTCCTCCCTGCTCGAGCTATTGTATATCACACTCGGCCTCATGGCTTCCCCATTCTCCGCGACACTAGCTGACCCCAAGATATTAGAAACTCGGCGGTTTCCAAACTCGACGCAACGGCTCGCTTGGCCTTTCTTGATACGATAAGACATCAGATTGAAGCTTTTATCTCTACCCAGCGTAGTCAGTCTGGCCCCGCTGAGTCGATCAAGATGGAGGGGCTGGTGGACGGGGAGATGGATGGTGCCGTGGATGGAAAACTACAGGATGGCGCGGATGGCGTACACCACCATGAGCCAGGGGTTCCTCTCCAGCGATTACTTAATGATGATACGACAAAACCGAGATGATGCACGATGCATGTTTGTAAAGGCCGACACGTCTCTGTATGAGATGTACGATGGACAAGGCTTATGACTGGGCGAAGAAGTTGGGCTCGCATAAGGATGGCGTTTTCAGACTGATGAACAACGCTCGAGACGGCGATGTCTACAGAATGGCTCCAATTTACTCGGCGGCACGATGGGTCTACGTCCTACCCATAGCGACAGAGATTTTTTAACAATAGTATTTTGCGTAGAATCGGGAGACCACGGGCCGTTGGGAGCAGCACGGCTGTACAACATCGAACGGGCAGCGACGCCGACTTTAAAACATATCATGGCTCGCTCAAGGTTCCACGGCATGATGAGGAACGGGACGGCAAGAAGTTGGAAATGTGGGCGCAGGAGGCATCGAATGCCCGAATTCATGTTCAGCGGTTGCACGGGCAGAAAGGGAGCACGAAGTTGCACCCGAGGACACCATTTGTGCCTTTCGGAAATGGGGCAGTACCCAAAAGAAAAGAGTTAACAAGACGGAGTGTCTTGATAAAGCCAGGTTGAGGCAAAATATTCAGGCTTGATGGCGAGGTATCGTGATATTTTAATGAACTCGAATTATACGGCACATGCCTAGTCTTTTCACATTACACAAAAGGAACAATGGGCATCCATCTGGCATACAGAACGACATTATTCAGTGCCTTGGGGCAAACACCCCTTTGGGCTCAAGCATGTGACCGGCCTCTCATCTCACGCATCGAGAAGTCGAGCTTTAGGCTTTCAAGTCGAGCCCTCTGACAGTGTCAACCCACAAAAATGATTACGGGGGGTGAGAGGGGCTGGCTCTCACTTGAGCCTCTTCCGGCTGTACGTTAAATGAGAATGTCTCGATCAGAACATCATGATGCGCACTGATGGGAAGGTGTGGTTGATGCCGAAGCACTAAGGTAGTCCAGGGGTGTTTGTCCCTTGTACGCTGGTACTTAGCGAGGAACTGGGTATCGTACCGGACTACGGGGACCTTTTTTGGGCTAACTTTGGTTCTATTTTGTTCTAAACCCCCTCCCCCCCCCCCCGGCGGCGTGCGGTGTATTTTTTTCCCTTTTCCAACGGTCGCCCAAGGGGGACGGACGATACCTCATATTCACAGCCTTTCTAGCCCTACCGGGCGTGCAGACGTACAACGCCTCGGGCCGAGTGCTGCACTTAAAATGTCCTCTTGTCTCTATTTCTTTCAGGTCAGATGTTAATCATGGTTTGGCCGACAGGGGAGAAGATATTGGACAGAAAAGGCACGAGAAATCGATCGGTATACAGGCAAGCGTATAATTTACTGATGCAGCGCCAAGGTCTTTGAGAGATGAGAGAGTGGTGGCATGTGGTAGCTTTTTCGGAAAGGGGAAGAATAATTCCATGAGGGCGTACGGATAGTACCTTTGAATACCTATGGGTTTCATTACAAAGCTTGGGACCGGCAGGCAACTAAAACAGCTGCAGGCGGGGAGAAGAAAAAAACAAGAAAGGGCGGTAAGAGAATGGTGGCTGGGGGAACGGGGGGATAAAGAGAGACACAATGTGAATCGGGGAAAACAAGAGCGATGAACCTCGAGGATCAAGATCAAGAGATAATACTGCGTACGATCTCGATCGTCGATGAGGAGGGGCGGAAAAGCTCTGACGTAGCGGGTACCCTTTCCCATCTGTGTTTACCTTATATATTTCCCCCCTCTGCAGGAGACGTGCGCGTGTTGAGGGGGCCTTGAGGGGCAAGCTACCTACCTTGGGAGTGGGCAGAGGGGAAAGGGGAAATCGCGATGCACTTTTATCTGTTTGTTGTTTGCAGCATCCGGTAGCAGCAGGACTAGAAGTCACGAGAGCGAGCGAGCGAGCGGTTTGGTCAGGCTTCGGCCCATGTGGTTCATCGGTTCCGACTTGCGGTTCCGAAGGCTTTCCAACATCCATGGTCCGAGGTCCATGTTCCCTGAAAGTTGACTTTGAGATGGTCGGAATCCAGAGCCTCGGAGCCTAAGGTAGTGCAAAGGGGTTTGCCACCATACCATAAGAAGAAGGACCGGGAAGAAGGGCTAGATATCAGTCGATGGGATCTGCGATGCCACAACACTGGCGACAGCAACCCGGACCCATCAGTTTTTCATGACTTGCCTGGTTGTTTTGTTTTTGGACGGCTTGAGCCTTGTGTTACCTGGGTAGGTATTACTCTGCATTCTGGGTTGCCATCGTGTATTCTTCCGTGCGCCTGCATGCAATGTGATTCGTGAGAAATCTCAACACACGGCGCTGGTTCCGGGGCTCTTTCTATGGACTGATTCTTCAAGGATATTGGAGGAGGAACACGTTATGGTAGCCCCACTGTACAGTCCTCCATCCCAAAGAGGACTCGGGCCGGCTGGGTGACAGATCTGAACTACTACTAAAAAGGAAGCAAGAGGGGACGATAGGTAAGCTGGAGGGGAGAGACTGACAATGCGGCGGCGGCTGCTTTTTGTTTGGCGCGGGATTCTCCGTGGCTGAGCTGCTTGGGAACGAGGCTGGCAGGCACGCGCCAGGGCAAACCTTTCTTTCCGTGTATATTACCGGTACCATGAGAAGGGAACGTCCTGGGAGGCACGTGGGATGTACCAGCATCTGAAAGGTACTTTGGGCACCTCAAGATCCTATATGCAATAGATTGATGAGACCCCGATTGCGGGCGAAGCGGGTGAGGTATTTTGAGATAGAGTGAGAGAGCCGCGAGCGGAGCAGAGTGACTTTCCCTCTCCCTAGCGACGGATCAGGTTCAAGCGGTCATATTAGGTAAGCAAATGAGGCTTGAGCTATGGCTTGAGTTCATGTCAAAGTGCGGCGGAAACCCAAATTGGGAAGGGGGGGGAGAGATGTTTCCGAGGCGTAAAGCGGCCGGAGCCGGCGTGGGCAGGCGGGCATGCGAAGGATGCGAGGGTCGATGTGAAGCGTCGGCGGCTGGCGGGAACCGAACCGGAAAGCGCATACCCAGCACAGGCGAGCGGCGGGCAGGGGAGAGTTTGAACTGTTGGAGAGAGGTTTTTCTTTTTTCTTTACCCGCTACCGGCCGGATGCTGTTGGTGAATCTAACTTTCCTCCCGTTTCTCGTTTGTGCATGTCATCAAGGGGTATGATCTCGCTTCTACTGAGCGGGTCATGGATTCGAGTTAACACCTAGTGAAATCATCACTTTTGTTCGCTTGTGTAGTTGACGGTGTCATATACTATCTGATTCGAGTAAGGATAAGCAAATCATGTCTTTTTTTCCTTTTCTTTTTTTTTTTCTCTCTTCCAGATCTCGATCAGAGAAAGACATTTTGGGGGAGGAATATCATTGGAATAGCAGCTTCGACATAATGTCATGATGGCGTTGTTCGATGATTCGTGGTTCAATGTCAGTGTTTTTGGTGTGGAGAAGCGGGAGCCGAGGGGGGCTAGGTACCTTTGGCGGGGAACGTCTGATGAGACAGATACTAAGAGAAATCGCGATAAAGCGGTATACCGTATATGCTATATGAGGTAAGTTTCCCCCATTAGAAGGGTGGTCGTCTTGTAAGGCATTCTTGCATTATGGGGCTCTACAGACCAGGAGAGAGTGTTCCGAGTATGTGTCTACGGATCTACTTGTCTCAGAAGCCCAAGACAGATTCGGTGTTGGACAAGTGTGTCATGGGTCGAATCTGGTCTGCTGGGCTAAAAGGACTGACTGATTCACAACAATTCTTCCTATTGTCTGGCTTCGGTGGTGGGGGTTTCGCTTTTTTGGGAGAGGCCGATTCTCGGCACCCAAAGTCCAGACTCTTGAAGTTAGGTTTTTATCAACTAATTAAAATACGCTATTGGTCAGTTTTCGGGCTCGCGACTTCGTCTTGAGCCGCCCCCGAACGACGCCCTTGACTAACATGAACATGTCAGAGAAGGGCACATGTCAACAGACAATATGGCCAATTTCCTCGGGGTTTCCTCACTTTATTCCCACCAATATTATGCTTATAGCCTAACCGCGTAAAGCAACATGAATGAGAGCGGCGCATAGCATGAGGGATGCCTGAAAGGCATTTGTCGATCTGAAAAAACGGATGGTGAAAAAAAAGAAGAGGGAAAGTAAGGCCGGGGTTTGGTTCGGTTAAATTATCCACATCAAATAATTACCATCACGAAATCGCGAACTCGCGTATCGTTTTCTCTTCTACTGTGTAGTAGTATGGGAATACCTTACGAAACCCCAATAGCTAGTGAGGCCCACGTAAACCAGCACTAGCCCGGCCTAGTAAAAGAAGCCGGGAACCTACCTTATTCACACAACGAAACGGCTATCGGATAGGTTGTCCGTTCCCCGTCGTTCGCAGGACCCCTGGGGAAGGCAAACCTGGAGTAAAAGGAAAAAACTCTTTCTCACTCCTTCTTCCCTCTTGTCTCTCTCTCTCGCCCTTTGCTTACATGACTGCATGACTGAGACTTTTTTTGTTTTGCCTCTTCCTAACAGAGTTCCATGGCCCTTTTGAAGCGAGGAGCCGCGTGCGTAAACCTGTGGTGTATGATTGGCATGGAAATGACTGGATAATTGCATCAAATCACCTAAACCAACGACAAACTCAACGAAGGAGCGCGAACCCCTACTACCCACCCACCCCAGACCCAGGCCCAACTCTAGCCGAAAGACCGAAGAGGCGAAGGGAACTAGTAAGGAAAAGTACAAGTAGGTTCGTTGATCCGCCCTCTCCCTCTCGCAACGGCCCGCAGTAGGATAGTGTTGGTATTAGTCGACACTCTCTCCTCCTCCTTGAGCTTGGTCCCTGTGTTATGAGAGACGGGTGATGGTCAGGCTTCGATACTCTTTGTTGCCGTTTATTACTTTTACCGCAACGAATTTAGTTTGAAAGGACACAGAGGTTTCGAAGGCTGAAGCTGAGGTTGTCGTACGGCAAAGAGAAGGAGAGAAATTTCGTGTACAAGGCAGCAACTTGAAGCGAAGAAAAGGGCAAAGGAACCAGAGAGGAGAAAACGTGGCCGACAGGGTTGCAGAACTGCAAGGCGGAAGTCAAAACGGAAAGAGGGAAGAAAGAGAACATCTGAAGGTCGAAGGGGAAAAGATCCAAAGACAGACCCAGCACGAGACATAATACGGAGACTCGCTCTCCTCTCTTCTCTTGTCCTCTCTCTCATCCTCCTCTCTTCATCCATTCAATCCACATGGACCCGGAAAAGGCTGCCACAGCCCGCCAAGGCAACGACATCACACCCGAACCAGACTACAGCAACTATGACTACCCGCTCCCCACCAAGCCAGAGAGCGCAGCCCACGACGGCGCCGCGGCGCTCATAGGCAACGACCTGATTCCCTCCGTCTCCAACGCCGTCGCCGGCGCAGCCGGCCCAAACTACCATTACCAACGCAACAGCGATTTCATCAACAACAACAAGAACAACAACAATGCCACTTACAGCAAGGAAGCCGGAGGGGGCGGAGGAGAAGGGAATGCCGGTGACACGACCGACGACGACGACAATGGCAACTACATCCACCACACCGACACCGTGGGAGGTGCCTCGACGACAGCAGCAGAGGAAGAAACTTACCCCGAGGGCGGGCTCCGGGCGTGGTCCGTCGTGCTGGGGTCCTGGCTGGCGCTCTTCTCGGCCCTGGGCATCATGAACAGCATCGCCATCTTCCAGACGTATGTTGCGACGCACCAGTTGAAGGGGTATAGCGAGGGAACGATTGGGTGGATCTTTTCCGTGTATACGTTCCTTTGCTTCTTTGGGGGTATCTATATCGGACCCGTGTTTGATCAGTATGGTCCGCGTTGGCTGGTTCTGGCCGGGACAGTGTGTCTTGTCATCGGCGTCATGTTGCTGAGTATCTGCACAGGTAAGTTGTACACAAATAACATTTTGCATCGGCTCGTTCTGTTGCGGCACGTCATATCACCACTCTCCCCCAGAATTACATCGCCCAATGCATCTTCGTCGAGTGAACCAAATACACAACAGAGCGCTGACACACTCTCGCAGTATACTGGCACTTCATGCTCGCCTTCGGCATCCTCTGCGGGCTCGGCAGCTCCCTCGTCTTCACCCCGTCCATCGCGGCTGTAGGCCACTGGTTCAAGCGCCGCCGCGGCTTCGCGACAGGCATGGCCTCCACCGGCGGCTCCATCGGCGGCATCGTCTTCCCCCTCATGATGAAGTCCCTCTTCCCCCGCATCGGCTGGGGCTGGACCATCCGCGCCGTCGGCTTCATCTGCCTCGCCCTCTGCGGCGCCTCCAACTTTTTGATCCGCTCGCGCCTCCCGCCCGCCCGCAACGCGAGCCCGCACCCGGACCCGCGCATCTTCCGCAGCGCGGCCTTCAGCCTCACGACGGCGGGGATATTCCTCATGGAGTTTGCGCTGTTTATCCCGCTGACGTACATCTCGAGCTACACGCTCAGCCAGGGCTTCAGCGAGTCCTTTGCCTTCTCCATCCTGCCCATCCTCAACGCCGGCAGCGTTCTCGGCAGGGCGCTGCCCGGTTGGTGGGCCGACAGAGCCGGGCCCTTTAACAGCAACATGGCCGCCATCGTGCTGTCCGTGATTGCGTGTCTGGCGGTCTGGTTGCCCGCGGGCTCGACGGCCGCGGGCGTCATCGTCTTTGCCGTGCTGTTCGGGTTTGCGAGCGGGAACAACATCAGCATCAGCCCCGTGTGCGTTGGGCGGCTGTGCAAGACGCAGCATTACGGGCGGTACTATTCGACGACGTATACCGCCGTCTCGGTCGCATGCCTGATTGGTATCCCCATTGGCGGCGAGATTGTCACGGCGACGGGGGGCCAGTATTGGGGTCTCATCATCTTTACCGGGCTGATTTATGTTTTGGCCTTGGTGGCGCTTATGGCTGCCAAGTTTGTGTGCGTTGGGAAGATTATTTGGGGCAATTTTTAGACGAGAGAAAGAAGAAGAAGAAGAACAAAGATGTTCGGATAGGCGCACTTTGTGACGGAGGGAAAATTTGAGGTCTTGGCACATGAAAAGGAATTGGATATCAAAAAGGCACTTATAATGAGAATTGTACATATAATGAAGACTAGACCCGGAGTTAATTGTAGTGATGTAAGCTTACTTCATATTTGGCTGTTTTGTCTCCCAATCCCAAATGGGAAGCTCTGATCATCGGCTATCGGTGCCGAATGAACATCAAACGATACTCGGCTCTGAGTCACTCTGTGTCGAGATTTGAACCGCGGTTGTAACGACGTGAACGCCGACGGGACGTCGTTGCGAAGCCCCGAAGCAAATACGTTCCCAGAAATCCGCAGCAGATTCCATCCCGGAGGTGCGGGTCGGTGGAGCACGGGCCTCCTTCGGCCCGTGCGGAGGAACCGAACCGGCGCTGGAAACGACGGTTTAAAACCCTCGCTGCGTTTCCCATCTCTTCTTCATTGTGGTTGATTTTCTTTTGTTTTCAATAATTGTTGTTGTGGTACGAAGTTTTCCGAGATAGATCGTTCGACACAACCTCCTACATCGTCTTCAAGATTGACTCTATTTAAACTTAGAAAGACACTAAATATCACAAGGTGAGTTTACGTGTAAGACACGTCATATGAGAGAATGGGTGCCGGAGGACCGAGGTCCGGCGGAGGTAATGGGCCGAGTAATGGAGAATGGGTTCTTATCTCTCATACGCCTTATACGCCCTACTTCTGGACATTAATGAGGACGAATACGACTATCGGAGATATCAACTTTGTATAAGGTATCATGTCACTGACACCCTTCAGGTCTTACTCATATGTCGGAACCGCCCCTGTCACCAGCCCATTCTCCCTGCCACCAAGGTCTCACAAATCTCACCATCACCCATCATTAGACACATTAACAGCGACCACTACTTCGAGGAGATCTGTGAACATCACGTTTTCTTCATCGCTCACCTCCAAAAAAAAAAAAAAAAAACACAAAATGTCGCTCCCCACAGAAACGGCAGAACGCCAAGAAGACGCCTACTTCTCCTCCCAACCGCCCCCCAAAAACCTAGACGCCCACGTCGCCGCCGCCCGCTCCTTCATCGACCACCACGCCGCCTCGAGCCGGCGCATCGTCCTCGTCACCTCGGGCGGCACCACCGTGCCCCTCGAGAAGCAGACGGTCCGCTTCATCGACAACTTCTCCGCGGGCACCCGCGGCGCCACCTCGGCCGAGTACTTCCTCGAGGCCGGCTACGCCGTCATCTTTTTGCACCGCCAGTTCTCCCTGCAGCCGTACTCGCGCCACTACTCCCACGCAACGGATTGCTTTTTGGATTTCCTCGCCGAGGGCGAGGACGGCACCGTTGTTGCGAACGCGGCGCACCAGGAGCGCATGCGAGAGGTGCTGCGCAAGTATACCGCTGCCAAGAGGGGCAATATGCTGCTCATGCTGCCGTTCACGACGATTACGGATTACTTGTTTGAGCTGCGCGCTATTGCGGGCTTGTTGAGGCCCCTGGGCCCGTCGGCGCTGCTCTACCTCGCCGCCGCGGTGTCTGACTTCTTCCTGCCGCAGGATAGGATGGCCGAGCACAAGATCCAGTCCACCAACGCCACAGACTCGTTCTCTGGAGCAGGAGCGGGAGCGGGAGCAGGATCAGCTACAACGACAACCACAGCCAAGCCCACCAGAACCAGAACCAGCACCAGCAACGGCAACGGCAACGCCTCCAACACGGAAGACGAAGAGGCCTTTGACAACTTCGACTCCACCAAGGTAGCAAAATCCAAATCCCTCGTCATCGACCTCGACCCCGTCCCCAAGTTCCTCCAAAACCTCGTCGACGGCTGGGCCCCGCAGGGCATGGTCGTCAGCTTCAAGCTCGAGACCGACCCGGCCATCCTCGTGCACAAGGCTAAGTACTCCCTCGAGCGGTACCAGCACCACCTCGTCATCGGCAACCTGCTCTCCACGCGCAAGTGGGAGGTCGTCTTCGTCGCGCCCGGTAGACCGGACCGGTGGGTCCGCGTGCCGAGTGTTCAGCGTGCGTCGTCGTCGTCGTCCGGGAGTGGAGGAACGTGGGAGGATAAGCCGCTCGACCCCAGCGCGCTGCCGGAGAGTGACCCTGAGATCGAGATTGAGAGCTTGATTATTCCTGCAGTGCAGGATTTGCATTCGCAGCACATTGAGTCCCTGTAGAAGTAGAGGTAGAGAGAGTTGTGTTGAGTCAGCGAGCGAGAAAGGATTTTCATGTTTCTGGCAAGACTTTTTTGGGGCAAGCGTCACGTATATCATGTTATAGCGCGCATCAAATGGTAATGGAAAAAAAAAAGCATATGAAGTACAATTGCTTCCTTCTCTGTCTCTTGCTCTCTCTATAAAAGGTACTCCAAACCGTGAGCGCTACGTGATGCTTTATATGATACATGTACAACATCCCCCGGGCTTTCTGCGCAGTGCAGTTCCCTCACTTAGACGTAGACGGCGCCAAACGCCAAGCTCTCATGGGGAGTGACTGCAAATGCAGGACTCTAGGTCGGATGTAGAGCATGAATGTGACCACGCCAAAGACGACGCAGATGATGTTGACAAAGTAATATCCGTCGCGCACCATCTCACACGTGCCACCGCCGTTGACGCACTTCTCCTTGTCTGGTTGCAGGGAGCAAGAAAAGGGGTCGGTGATGACAGGGCCCTTGAGGGCGTTCAGATCCGCGGGGTTGCCGGGTTTGCAGGTCGCGACAGTGAAGTAGTCGACCAGGCGCAAGACGAAGAAGCGCGGGAACGTGCCGCCAAGGTTGCAGACGCTGCGGAGATCATGTTAGCACAGGAACTTAGTCAAATCGGATACTCGTGGGTAGACTTACGTCGCCAAGAGAGTCATGTAGGTGCCGCCGATGACGGGGTCTGCGATTCTAGCGTGGAAAGCAGAGACGGCGACAAACATGACCGTGTTGGTAAAGGTCGAAAAGACGTGCTCGCCAATGACGACCAGCATGTACCAAGGGGTAACGCCGCCAGCCGGGAAAATGGTGACGGTGAACTGAGCGATCAGAGCAGCAACAAGGCGGCCCATGAAGCCCCAGCACCAGAGGCGCATGGGCGTGTATTCTTGGGACCACTTGCCGGCGTAGTAGCCAAGTGCGATTTCAAAAGGGAAATCGATAAGGACCGTCAGTGCCATGTTCTCCTGACCGAATCCCTTGTCAATGAGCTTGAGGTTGGTAACTGCGTCGTTGGCCTGGAAGCCAATCTTGGCAATGAGATGAACAATGATAATGGTCTGGATGTTCTTCAACTTGAGAACACCCCACATGATCTTGTACACATCCCAAATGCCGTCCTCATTCTTGGTTCTCTCCTCACGCTTGAAGAGAGAGAGCCCAATGGTGATGGCAATGTACGCCCAGCCCCAGAACGTCAGGTACCCACCGAGGGACATGAGACCGTGATCCAGGGGAGAGCTGCGGAAGTAGCGGTTTGCAAAGTCCTTGGAGTTGAAGGCCAAAAACACCGTGTAGGACAAGAAATGACCGGCAGTGAGACCGACGGTCTGCGCAGTGGAGGCATAAGACACATTGCCGGGCGTCAGGAGAGTCAAAGCCCAGCCGTCTACAGCGATATCTTGCGTGGCGCACATAAAGACGAGGAAGAACCACCAGCCGGTGAAGTTCCACACGGTAGGACCTCCGGGCTTGCCGGTGTTGGCCATCATGTTCTCGACAGTAGATCCGAGCCAGAGCATACCCAGTCCTGAAAGCAGCTGAATGGGAAGAATCCAGCTCTTTCTGCGTCCAACCTTGGGGCTCCAGACCGCATCCACGATGGGACTCCAGAGAAGCTTCAACGAGTATGGGTATGAAGCTAAACTAAAGATTCCAATCTCGCTGTACGACATGTGGTCCTTCATTAGGAAGGGAACCGAACCACCCGCGAGGCCCATGGGCACACCCTGTAGGAAGTACAGGAGCACCAGCAGGAGGAAATTCCTCTGGTCTTGCAACGGCAACTCGAAGAAGCCATGGTTATTGGCGATGGGGGTCTTCGGGACGGGGTCGTCGAGGGTGAAGGATTCGCGCGACATGAGGTTCGCGGTTACGGTGTCGGAGCCGGGAGTCGTCGCCTTCCGCCGGAACTCAACGTTGTTCTGGTTCATCGCGCCGTTGGCGTGACCGTTCGTGCCGTCTGTGTCTACAGCTAGATCGGCCAAAGCTTTTCGCTTGACGGACTTGTTTCGGCGTGTTCGGACGCTCATTTGTGCTTGGCTTGTAGTTGAGGGATGTCTCGGTTGGAGCTTGCGGCGCAATGCTGGTATGCAGTAAAATTCGAGGTCTCGGCTGAGAGCGGTTGTGTCGAAACGTGAGAGGTGGTTTGGGAGAAAGAAAAAAAAGACTTTATGCGACAAGTCGGGAGTCGTGAGCAAAGGAAAAGGTTCTTTGTCTGTCCAGCGAAGACCACCTAGACAGGGTCGAGGGCGGGGTGGAGCAGAGTCCGTGGCAGTCAAGGCGACGCTGTCTTAAACAACAGCTTAGACCAATGACAGACGGTATGGCGCTAGGCACCCAAGCGATCGAGAGCTTGTTTGTGTGTGCGCGAGTATGGTTGGTAGAAGAAAGGGTGGAAAAGGGCGATGTTCGGGGGAACGGTGGAAGCGCAACCGTGGCCTTTGACACTTTTGAGAACACGCCAGTGGCAAAGAAGGAATGGAAATAGTGGTCGAGTTGGACGTTGCGGGGTCTTGGAAAATGATGGGAATGATAGATAAGAATGAGATATGATAATGAAGAGAACTCAAGTCCCCAGTGGACCGAAAAGTAGTGAATTTGACAGAAGCAAATCAACACAGCAAGAAAAGGTGTTCTTGTTGCGACGATACCTCGGGGTCAAGAAGACGGGAATTGGGGAGAAGATTCAAAGAAGCTTATCCAGGTCCAGACGCGCTCCACTCGACTGGAAAGCCACCCGCCGCCCGGCGAGCTCCCTTGGGACCCCTGGCGCCATGCCTCATTTGGCGCCATACCACTAAGGTAATCACTGATAAGATAACAGCTTAGATAAGCTTCCCCGCAGGTCGCATTCCGCGCTGTCGGTACCTCACGTAGTACGGACGTTTTGTTGACTGGGTTCAAGTGTCTTACACTGCGCTGCTTGGCAACCAATTCAATTGTCAACTTCACCAAGACGCGTCGATCGCGTCCAGGATCCCAATCACGTCATAGGCAACTACGACTGCGACAATTGTGCTCTCCCCACTGAAGAAATCGCGATTCCCTCTTGTCCACACCCGCAATCAACAAAATGTCTGGTGAACTTCCAGATGCTGCCGCAGAGGCTCTCGAACAAGAGATCAACGACCTTCGAGCAAAAGGTAGCCATTCCACAAAACTATCCTCGCCCAGATGCTAACTTGCAATCCGTTCAGCCGCCTCATTGAAGAAGGAATTGAAGGTCCAGGCCACAGCCCTCATCTCGTCCGATTCGATACGAAACGCCCTCAAAGAAGACAATGAGAAACGCAGCGCGATTGCACTCCCCTCAGAATCCAAGGCTGTCCGTGACCAAGTCCTCTCCCGATCCAAAGCCCAAGACGCGCACGACCAGCAATGTCTATACAGAACCTGCGCAACCATAACGACGTTCAAGGTCAAAGACCCGGACCCCAATGCCGTCGACCGAGGCAGCGTTCTCGGCATTCGCATCGAAATCATGTCCGGTGCCAAGTTCCGACGACCATACTATGTCATGCTCAATCGACCGTACAAAGACTCGCGACATCTGCGAATTCATCGTCATACGGTGCCTCCATGCATCCCGCTTGCTGCACTCGCCGCTCGTCATCTCCCTGCACCCAAGCCTGCCGACGCCGAAGACCAGAAGGCCCAAGACTTATCTCGCTTCGTGCGAACGCTGAGGAGGGAAATTGTGAGATATCACAATCGGACTGCTGTGATTGGCGATCTGCAAAGAGCGGCTGGACTGGTGGGCGCCGGCAGCGAGAGAGACGACTCCGAGCAGGCGATCACGAGCATCGTTGCCGCAGACATTGAAGCCAAGCAGATCAGCATCGAATGGGCCGATGGCAGGGCGGGTAGATTGGTCATGAGCGAGGACGGGCAGATTCAAAAGCTTGTCATTCTCGGCATGGCGGGACGTGATCGAGAGACCACGCGAGATCTTCTAGGTGACAGCCGGCGCGTAGAAGACGTCGCAAAGCGATTAGCGACATCTTGAGGACTGGGTCAGATACGACAAAGATGCTTCTACAAAAAGGGAATTATGAACTAAAGGCCCGTTATCTGGCGACAGCAGGAACCCATCCTTCAACATTTGGATAGGAATCATTCCTAGCGCCTTCAACGAAGATCCCGCGGGATGGGCCTCCACTGAAAGCGCCCAGATCAGCAAGTCCGCCCAAGTGAGACGAGCATGTGCTGGAGAGTCGTCCGCGCCGGACAATCCCATTTGTCCGCTCGACTCATGCTTGACCCTCCGAGCCATCCGCAACCTAGCCTAAACGCAACATAAGCATATTGCGGTCAGTCTGCAAGGTTATGCAGCCACAAACTCGATCCGCAACTCAATCGACATGCGAGTGAATGGTGGAGGCACCAAAGTGGATCATATCAAAAACAGGTCAAAACAAGGTACCCCGCGACCTGGAGATCTGCCGTTGATCCGTAGCACCCGACCATAGCCATTCGGCGGAAAGTCGACACTTGGGGCAACACGACCAGTGATACAAGGCTGCAGGGTGTGCGAATGCTACCCCCCGAAGCCATGTTGGCCTGAGATATCGAGCTTGGTTGCGAGGAATCGACTTGGGAATTCCATCATTGGTTGCACATTGCACGAGTAAAAGATGATGGAACAAGCATTGTAACCAAAAGTACGCAACCCATTATATTAGCCTTAACTAATTAAGTCGGATTTCTCAGACGCCAGAGCCGATGTCCTCCTTCGCCCAGAGTTGCGAAGCCCGAGGAGCCAACCCCATCGTGTCCGAGTGAAACCCCCCCAAATCCCGTTTGTTCATTGTCCAGTCATTAACCCCTATTTTGTCCCATTGTACCCCAAGTTCCCATGGTATCTCACCCTCTATGCCTGAATCACAAAACAACGCATTGTCTTTCTCCTCTAGTAACATGATGAAAAGCAAAAAGGCAAAAGACAAGAAAAGCCAAGAAAAGCAAGAGCTTTTCCATTCAGATAAAGGCGGCGGCGGCAGCCACCACGGCGACGACCACACCACCGGCGCGCTGAACGTTCTGCACAGCCCCGGCGGTGACGACGGCGCGGCTCGTGGTCGCGGTCGGGTTGGGTCTGGTGACGGTGCCGACGGAATCGGGCTTGGTCGTCGTGGCGGCAGGGGGAGCAGAGGAGACGGGAGGGACGGGGACCACAGGGGGGTTTGATGACACTGGCGGGATGACGACGGAGGAGAGGGTCTCGGGAGGAGAAGGGTTGCTGGGCGCCGGTTGCTCTGCCGGTGCGGTGGTTGCTGGAGGAGCCACGGGCGCGGTGGTCGGGCCCGGGTTGGGCGCGACGGGGACGGGGCAGATTGTGACGACGGCGGGGACGGTGACGGTCTCGTACATTGTGCCGCCGCCGTTGCCGGGGCAGTTGGGGACGCTGGGCGGGCAGCTGTAGATTGTGGAGACGGCGGTCTGGGTGATTGTGGAGGTGGTCCACTTCCAGGACTGCGGCGTGGTGGTGGGCTCGGGCTGTTCCGGTTGGTCGGGCTGGTCGGGGGTCTCTGTGGGTTCCGGGGCCGAGGGGGGCTCGGTGGTTTCCGGGGAGCACTTGTCGCAGCCGGGTTCCTTTGTGTGCTTTGGCTTCTTCCACTTGTGGCCGTCCTTGTCCTTGCCGGGCTTCCCCCATTTGGGCTTGCCCGGGTGGACCCAATGCCAGCCGTGCTCCTTGTCGCTGTCGCAGTCGTCAATGTAGACGTCTGGGTGGGGAGGGTGCCAGACGGAGATGCAGTCTGAGGGGGGACCCGTGAGGGGGCCAAAGGTCTTGATGTTGAAGTCTGCGTTGCCGTTGGCGAGGCCGAGGGGCTCGATGCCTGGTGGGTAGCTGAATTGGCCGTCCCATGTTGCGCGGGCGACTGCTGCGAGGCCGAGGACTGCGAGGGTTGAGTAGCGCATTGTGTTGTGTGTGCGGGTTGTAGTTTGCTCTGGATAGGAGAAAGAATGAATATTTACTATAGAGTAAATAGGGAAGTGTAGAGTGAGAGAGAGCAAACGAGACCGGGGGGCGATATTGAAGGTATTAGCGAAAGTAATTGGTATCAGAGATACTGAAGAGAAGGAGAAGGAAAAGGGAAATCGGGAAACAAGGTGAAGAGCTGCTCCTTTTCTATCTTTCTTCCTTCCCCATCACGGAATCCTCATACAGGGGGTTTAAGTGACGATGGCGGAGACATCGGGAGGAGGAGTGGCCAGGGGCGCAAAGCCGCGAAGCCCAACATCGCGAACAGACTCACGGGTGTACCTTGGGTAGGCCACTAAATGGAGCTACGCTAATTTAATTAAACGTCATGTCATTATTCCGCCGTACGTAGTAGTATCCGTACATACTAAGAGAGAAAAGGCCTGCCCTCCTTTGGACGCCGCCCCATCTAAAGGGGCTGAAAAAGAAGCATCGCCCCGCAGGCCTCCATTGCCTGTCGAAGATCTCCGTGATTGGTTAGCCCATCTCTTTGACGAAGATCAGGGGGGAGCGCCTGGGAGGAGGGGAGAAGGAAAACGATCACAAGGACGGGACCACCAAGCTTCGGATGGACGTTTGCTAAAATTACGTTGCGATCAAAAATTGGGACGACAGGTACGGATACGGGGATATGTGCTTGGTAGGGCCTTGTTTTCCTCCAGCTTTCGTTTCCCAATTCGGAAAAAGAGCAGAGGGAACGGTGTGGTTGAAAGAGCATAGCAGGCCAGAGATGGAGAGGGAAATGGGCGCAGCTGCTGCTCTGCAGACTGCATGAGCCTCTGATACAGGGACGGAGCATGGTTCGGCAGATGGGATCACCCAGGATCCCTGTGTAAAGCAGCCTCTTCACGAATCACCGAGATCTACCTGCCAGTAGACCCGGGGGAAGGTCAAGGAGGGGGGGGGGGGAAACGATGTCACCTCGTCCGACAACCAGGGGTAATGCCACTCTGCTATGCTACTATGGTACGCTAATCGTAAATATCCCTGCAGAAATCGTCTCGAATGGTGTTGAGCTTAAAGAGACCTTTGGGCTCGAGGAGAGTCGAGATGGGCTGACCCCTCCAATTGTGAGGCAGCACAGCCCATCATCCGAACTTTCGAAACACCATAACCCTTGGTTATCCCATGAATTTGGCCAATTTCCAAGGGGGTCAAAGCATCAAAGGGCACTGTGAATGGTAGTGCAGGTGTGGCAGCCACTTTGTGTTCTTCGCGAACTCCGAAGAGTTTGTGGGAGTTACTGTGTAGTGCGGCGGGTGTTGTGGGATGATGTCAGTGAGGGTTGCTGGTGGCCTCCCCTCCGCCCCTTGCGCTGAGGTCTCCAGGCCTACCCACCTGCCTGATCATTGGTGGCAGTGGAATCGACGATGGCTTCGGCGCTTAAGAGGAATCTTCTAATGGTCCTCAGCCTCAAGGCTGTTAAGTGGTGGGTTGGTGTATGGCCCATCTTCAATGATGTGGGAATCTTTCATGCAGGTTTCTCTCCTTTATGCAGAGAGTAACACAGGTAGGTTGAGTATCATCCAGCTTCTTGACTACCTATGTGAGATTATTTCCAACAGAATTCTTCTTCAGGTCATTTGGCCTCGAAAAGACTTTGCAACTAGCAACGTCCTCCCTTGTCGGTATCGACTTTGACAGGTGGTCATGACCGCATTTTCGTCTAAACAATGTTGCTTGGCTGCCTCCCCCTTCCCGTCCAAGTCCTGTCAAAAATAGGAAACCACCAACAGAGTCATGAGCGATCGACTAAGAGGGATAGTTCGCCTCGTCATGAGCTGTAAACAAGCCACATGAAGGCTTGAGGGTTGTCGTCGAAAATTTGCGGCTCATGTCCGGCTCCGGCTGGTCTGTCATTTACTCGCCACACGTCGGCAGCACAAGGAGGGGAAGGTCTTGCGAAATGGGGTTTTTTGGTCAAAGTCCGAATTTAACTCTACCCTAGCGAGTAGTCGAAGTCGGGGTGATTCCCATTCCCTTCGTCGTCCGCGGGAAACCCAAATAGCCGAAGTAATATCAGTTTGTGATATTAATGCAATTTGATCGGATCAGCTGTGTGTTCAGTTTAGTCAAGTCGTCCCCACCTGGCATAGCCATTGACGCTATAGCAACTTACTGGAAACCGATGATGGCTCTTGCGCATTCGTGGTATAGGGCCCGGAGAGTTCTGTGAGTGACATCTCTCTCTCTCTTCTCTTCTCTCTCCCAATGAGAGCGTCAACTCGGCCCGAAGCCTCATTCGCATGAAGACCTGGTGAAAAATTCGATTGCCGCGAGCAGCGCACGCAATGCGATGATGGCGCTTCCTTGCGCGCTGGTTGCACGGCGACAAACGCCGGCAAAAGGCAAACTTCACCAGTCGAGAGGTTTCTTGGTCTGCGGCACCGCGGAGCTGGGTGCCCGCTCCGGGCTCGGCTGTCTCTCGTGTTCTTGCGCGTCGCCAATGGCCTCGAGGACGATGCCCCATTGCTCAATCTCGGCGTCGGCCACCTTTTGCCATTTGCTGATGAGGGGGTGGGCACGAGCCACGTCCGCGAAGAGGATTTCGTCATCACCACCACCGCCATTCTTGATGCCGCCCTCGACGTCAAACTTCCAGGTCCCATCGGTGTTCCAGTACGCTGGTCCAAAGATGGAGTCAATCTTGAGCTCCGCCTTGGCCTCGTCCAGCGTCTTGCGGGCCTTCTTTGAAGCATCCTCATCGTGGTCGTGGCCGTCTATTGCGGCGGCGATACCCTCGAGGAGGCCGACGATCTGGCCCGCGAGTGAGCCGACCTCGGCGCCGAGGCTGAAGCCCTCATCGAAGCCCGCCTGGATGCTGTGGGCTTTGGCGGCTGATATGCCCTCGCGGTAGCCGGCGTTGGTGTGCTCGGCCTGCAGGCGCGGCATGTCGCCCGGGTGCGTTCCCAAGGGGGCTGCGCTCGCCGCGTCGTCTTGAGCAAAGTTGTTGTGGCCGGCGTGGTGGTTCGGCGAGCCGGGCTCGGAACCCCAGACGTCGTCAAAGGTCTCTTGGGACTGTGCCTCTGGCAGGATGGTGATGCGGGGATCGTCCATGGCGCTGGTGAATGGCTCAATTTCAGTGTTGTCAATGGGCTGGAGATGCATGGTTGAGAAGTGGGTTAAGAGAGGGCCAGGATATCCTGTGCCGTCGTACTCTTTGGGGTTGATGCTGAGATGACGGAGATATCTTCTTAGGGAGATGCTGAGTTTGGATGACAAAGTATGAAAATTTGGGAGTTGATTTACAACCAGATCCCCCGCACTTCCCAACTCTTCGCACTGTCGTTGACGCAGTCCAAGCTAACTGCTATCACAGTATGTCCTATAATTCGTACGGTACGTCGCCATTGTGGTTCATCGAGTACTAACTGGTCCACAATATCTTCACTTCACATCGTCTCCGCCTCAGAAAACTGAGGTAGTATCCAGCTTTCAGCGATCATCATGACTTGGCTGGATTTGACAGTTGTGTTGAGCGGACGAGCAATACTCAATCCCCTTGTCCCCTCTCCTCCACTAGACTCGCTGGCTCCGTGGTTGAATTCGACCATATCTGACCTGTTCCTTGATCTATCTCAAATACATTTTCTTCAAGCGGGCTCGGTCTTGGCGGGCTGCCAAATTAGGCAACAATAAGAACATGAGAGAAACTCTGGTGAATAATGAGAAACATTCACTTCCCTCCCGCTTCTTCGCTTTCTCGCAGAATTGCCTCGCCGAGACCGACATCCCATGGACGTCAGACACCTTAAAAATGCCAAGTTCCTGTACCCCAGATTATCTCACAGGGGTCTGAGATCCATCTATTTCTAGACCAGCAGCATCGTCATGGGTCACCAGAAAAAGAAAACCAGGATGGTGGCCTTCCCCGGATCGATGTAATCTCCAATCAAGATGAAATTGTCAAGCAATTATATTTGGATATGTATTTCGTTTCGCTCGTAAATAGATCTAATCTAGCACATGGTATTCCCTTTTTTTGCCAAAACTCCCCTTATGCCGTATCCAACACAACGACCTCCGCTTCGGCCTCGCCGATGCTCTCAACCTTCAACTTATCCCCAGCGTTGACCGCATCAACAAACGCACCGTCACCCTCGGACAAGACAGCATCCTCGCGGCCATCGATCCTAATCTTGGCCTTGCCACTCTTGGTCATGGGCAGGTGCACAAACACCTTGCGCTTCGTCTGCTCCGTCGCCTTACCGCCGACAACCCACTCAAAGACACCGTCCGCCCCGGGTGCAATAATACCCGCGCCCATGACGAAGTCGGCATGGATGGGAATCGTGCCCGGGATCCTCGGCTCCGCAGCCTTCTCCTCCGCAGCCGAGGCGTCGGGGCCAGCCTTGAGCGGCGACAAGATCGTCACGAACCCCTTGCGCTTATCCTCGTCAGCGAAATGGCGCGTGTGATACGTAGGCGGGAGCCCGCGCTTCCAGGGGACGGCCCAGATCTGGAGGAAGTGCACCGTGTCCTTGTGGTGCTCGTTGAACTCGGAGTGCGCGATGCCGGTGCCGCCCGTGGTGAACTGGACGTCGCCGCGGTGCATGCGGTAAAACTTGTCGCTCTGCCCGCCCTCGGCGCCCTTTGTTAGCATGGAGTCGCGGTGCGTGAGCTCGCCCGAGAGGATGTAGCTAAAGATTTCAAAGTCGCGGTGCGGGTGCGTGGGGAAGCCCGAGTTGGCCTTCACGCGGTCCTCGTTGAGGACGCGCAGGCTGCCAAAGTTGTTGAAGCGCGGGTCGTACCAGTTGGCAAAGGAGAAGCTGTGGTAGGTGTTGAGCCAGCCGTGGTCCGAGTGGCCGCGGGTGCCGCTGCGGTGCGGCGTGATCTTTGCGTGGTGGAGAGTCTTTGACATGTTGTTTTTTACTGCGTTGAGCATAGAAGGGTCAGGTGAGTTGTCTTGGGCGGGTGAAGACAGCGTTGTACTACT